TACTTTATTGCCATATCCCAATAAATGAATGGGAGTGAGCCCGTCATGCAGTTCAAGAGAAAGAGAATGAACACTTATTAAGAGAAAGGGAAAGAAAATGAACTCTTATGTTATTTTTTTTTTATTTTACTTTAAGTTCTGGGATACATGTGAAGAATGTGCCAGTTTGTTACATAAGTACACATGTGCCATGGTGGTTTGCAGCACCTATCAACCCGTCATCTAGGTTTTAAACCCTGCATGAATAGGTATTTGTCCTAATGCTCTCCCTCCTTTTGCCCACCACCCCCTGACAGACCCCAGTGTGTGATGTTCCCCTCCCTGTGTCCATATGTTCTCATTGTTCAACTCCCATTTATGAGTTATAACATGTGGCGTTTGGTTTTCTGTTCCTGTGTTAGTTTGCTGAGGATGATGGTTTCCAGATTCATTCATGATTCTTCAAAGGACATGAACTCATTCTTTTTTATGGCTGCATAGTATTCCATGGTATATATATATATATATATATATATATATATATATATACCACATTAAGAAAATGAACACTTAAGTGCCATGCCGCCTATGTGCACAGTTGGCACCATAAGAATTACAGGATTGTATAGCTCTTATAAACTCAGTATAGCTTACTGAAAAAAGTAATGCACTTTGTAAATGATACTTCATGTAATCCTCACAAAAAATGATTTGAGGTCTTATCCCTTTTTTGCAGATGAAAAAAATGAAGCTCATAGAGGTTACACAATTCATATATTGTCATGCAGCTAAAGTAGAGAAAATGTTAAGATTTAAACCCAGGTGCCTTCCTCTAAAGCTCATTCTTTCAATTTGCATATACTTCTAACTTCAAAAATCCCAATATTTACATAAGTGCTTTATATTCATAATCTAGGATGTTAAAATTAGGCAATGCAGTTGTTTGCATTTTTTTTGATCATTATATATAGCTTTCACACATCCAACTCTTAAACTGTAAGAGCTTTCTCTTACAGTTCTCTTCATTATACAATAGCCGAAATAAATAAAACGTGCTTACCCTTGCAAGTCTCCCATCAGGCTTCCCCACACATTTCTCTGTCTCGCCCAAACATTCAAAATAGGCACATGCACATGAATAAACACACTCCTTCTACTCATGCTTTCTCTCGACTTCCTCTTAATGGAACCATTCAGCCTTCAGCTAGGGAATCCGTTCATCTGGCCCCTACCCTAGCCTTCTCAGCCATTTCAAAGCTTTGTCTCCCCCAGGACTTCTTTGGAACTCCCAGGGCACTGTCATCACCTCCCTTCCAAGACAACTCCCCGAGGTCTTCTGTAGCCTCTCAAGGAGTCTACATGGCACTCCTTGCAAAGTTCTGTCATGGGCTGACTGGGCTGAGGTCCCTGGTATTTGAGAGAAAATTAAATGGACTTAACCATTATCTACATATCAGATGAGATGTCAAGGAAGCAGGGACCTCAGTCCACAGCATCTTGGCACTTCAGAAATAAATATCTTTCGCTAAGTCACATTTCAGTACAGTGGCTCTAGTGTTAGTGGTGAGGGAATATTGGAAATGGTTGTGTGAGAATTGTGTTTGCTGCTTCCCTTTTGATACTAAATACTATCTTTATTATAATCCATGCAATAAATCTCTTCTAGAATTTCTTCCCAGGAATAATTTTGTCTTCCTTCCAGGATAGCTATGTTTTATTTATCAGAAAAAGAAAAGCTATTTTACCCATCATGTGTCCCTCTTTGCCATAGCTGCTAGCAAGCTCAGGATTTAAATTTAGTGCTCAATTACATTGATTATCTCATTCTCGGTGTCTGGGGAAAAAAATATCCTCTCTTTTCTCCTCTATGATTTCTGAGCTCTGGAGGCACTGGAAATTTAGAGAAGGATCCATGGTATCTTTTTGCATAAATACCATTGCTTTTTGAAAAGTCTCATGGATATCTGCTGGGATTAAGCAAGTTAAATCTGGCTATATCACACCCTTTCTCTATTATGGATTCTTACTAATTGAAAGGAATATCAGAATGATTACATTATCAGTATTATTATACAAAGCACTGGGGTTCCTAATAAATACTGTTAGGGGAATGCATCTTATATACAAAGTCAGCCACTCCCAGCACAAATTATCCAAATCTGGTCTCTGGTAGTAGGTCAGCCACACATAGGATCATGCCTTGATCTACTTCCTATCGATGACCAGAGAGAGGAGGCCAAAGGGAGGCAGCCTCCTGGACAGGCTCTAGAACAGTGCACTAAGCCATGGCCCAGCAACTTCCCCAGGAGACCTAATAGCAGAGGTACTATTGAGGTCAGGCCAGTGCAGGAGAGACAGAGAAACCATGCGTGACTGGTGTTCATGACTCGTGATCATTACCAGGACCACTACATGCCACAGCACAGGCAGCTCACAGAAAGCGTTCACCTCGGGGGGCTATGACCAGGCTGAAATCCGGTTTACTCTGCACCTTTTTATAATTCCTACTTCCAGATGGGATGCCTTTTTCAAACTCACACAAAAGTTCTATATGAGCTACAGGGTCCCTTCCTTTTACCCTATTCTCATAAAAGCCACTTCTCTGATGAGGAAGGGTAAGCTTAGGGATGGGGAGGGCAGCTGGGAGCATGGAGCGAGTGGCTAAAAGTGTTATTCCAGTGTGCTTTTCTCTTGGGGCATAGTCACTTCCTCTCTGATTGTGTAAGGAGCTGAGTCAGTAAACTTTGTCCACCTATAGTTGTAGAATTTAAAAAAGAAGGATAGGACATAAGGAAAGAGAGTGGTGTCTAAAAGGAGAAAAGGAACATTTGTTCACAGTGCTGAGTGAATTGTCACTCAGCAAATATTAGCTTAGTGCCTACTATATTCCAAGCGCAACACTGGGCACTGGAGTTCCTTTGGTAAGACAAGCAAAGACAATCAGAACACCTAAAATTCTGGTTTCCACTCTCTGTGTTCCCTTAGGCATTTTATTTCCTCACTGTGAATGAAGTTATATAATGTCAACATTGTTTACGGTCTCTCTGAGTTCCAGAATTCTTACCATATGCTTAGGTCTCTGGGAAACCTTTGTGCAGGATGTTCTTTCACAGGTAATGGCTTAGGATGATACAGCCCCAGAGTTTTTCTCGAGTCTCTCATTTAAATTTTCCCTCTTCTTGTCTATTAAAAATGAAAGCCATGGTTCTAATCTGATTGCCCAATTACTTGCCAAGAAAAACTGTCAGCAGGTAGCTCTAATAAATGTAGGAATCCCTGCATCAACAGACTTAGATAAATAATTCAGCATAGCTGGAGCACAGGCTATGGAGTAAGGGAAGACAAGAGTAAACACTGGAGAAGAAGTAAGGGGGAGCCCAGGAAGAAGCACACTGAGACAGTGAAGGCATTTCTACTGTGAAATGAGGGCAATGGGGAGAAGTTTTTGCAGGAAGTAACACAATCAGATTTGCATTTGAGAAGTCAGTTTAGCTCCAGTGTGGAAAGGAGCACGATTAGAAACAGTGAGATTTGCTCACGGCCTGTCAGCAATTAGGAAGGACATAATGGTGGCTTGAATTAAGGAAGTGAATGACAGTAAGGATGAAGAAAAGGAGATGCATTCAAAAGAGATTTGGGAGATCAAACCTATAAGACTTGGAGACTGCCTAAATACGGGAAGATAGGGAGAAGTCAAGAAAGAGGGCTCCTGGCCAGGTGCAGTGGCTCACACCTGTAATCTCAGCATTTTGGGAGACTGAGGCAGGTGGATCACCTGAGGTCAGGAGTTCGAGACCAGTCTGGCCAACATGGGGAAACCCCATCTACTAAAAATACAAAAAAAAAAATAGTTGGGTGTGGTGGTGCGCATCTGTAATCCCAACTACTTGGGAGGCTGAGGCAGGAGAATTGCTTGAACCTGGGAGGCAGAGGTTACAGTGAACTGAGATTGCAGCACCGCACTCCAGCCTGGGCAACAGAGCGAGACTCTGTCTCAAAAAGAAAAAAAAGAAAGAGGGCTCTTGAGTTTCCTGGTTTGGGCAACTGAATGGTACCTGTGCCCTGTAATAGGCCAATTGCAGTGGGGTTGAGGGTGAAATCTGGAAAGAGTAATTAAATGGGGCCAGAGAATATGAAGGAAGGGACCTAGGTAGACCACTCAGCTTCCCTGTTGTGATGCAAATTGCATATCCATACCTGATTGAGCTCAGGACAACACACACCATAGGAACTAAGTAAATGAATGTTGGTGAATTCATTTTATAATGTGATCATCTAAAGTGAACTGTGGTACTGATGCCCACAATTTGGGCTAGGCTTTAAGAAACCAGCAGCCCTCATGCTCTAGAAATGTCCCAAGAGAACACCTTGATGTGTGGGGAATATGAAAGCAGGACTGTGAACAAATCCTGATAGCATACAAATCCGGCATCCTGTTCAGTTTTGGACTGTCTCAGAGATTGGCATACTACATATAAGCTTCTAATTCTGATTGACTTTCATGGGATTCCCTTGCAACCCACAGATTCTAAGTTATCCCTTAGTAGGTATAATATTTATAGGAGACATATTATTTTACCCTGGATTGGACACTGAACACTGTTACACTGAATTCTGATAGTAGCAGAACTCAAAACAAGATCATCTTGTACTAGAATGCCACTGTTATGTGTTGATTTCATGTAAGCCACAGAAAATAGGTATTTGTAAGAAAAAAGAATGTTTTAAAATAAAACGTATTTAATTATAGTCTAAGAAACATAATCTTCCTGTGGTATTTATTTTGTTTCGTTTTTGTTTAATGTAAGGTCAAGTTATTTTCTTTGAAGAAGGGATAGTTTTTCCCAGGTCTGGAGATTAAACAATTTAGTAAACATTTCACGTTCTGCTCACAAAAAGGGGATTTGCATATGAACTTGTTTCGGCAAGAAAACACATCTGAACGTATTTCATGGGAACTATCTATATCCATGGCAGCTTCTTTTGACCATCTTCTTCTTTTCTTCCCTTCATCCCTGCAGGTCACCGGATTGACACTGTCTCAGGACCTCGATGATCTTGCCATTCTCTACCTGGCCACAGTTCAAGCCATTGCTGTAAGATACTGTAATGCCATTTTTAAAGAGACTTAGAGCTATCAGAGTACACTAGGCCACATGCTCCCCAGGATATAGCATATGCTTTTGTGACAGCAAATCTTAATTTAAAGATTATTTGCAAAAATATATTCTTATATGTCTGGAAGGAGATGTTGATGAAGGGCCTCACGTGCTTTAGCTAATAACCTCACATAACTAAAAGCTGAAAGGAGTTAAAATATGTGAACACACACTTGTCATTTGTCTAATTTGTCTTCTAAATTTAATGAAATAGAAGCAAGCAAGCAGATGCTATGTATGCTTGCATTAAGAAAACTTGTTAAGGATGTCTGATTTATAAAATACATGATATTGTTCACTTTTCAAAAGGGTTCATAATAGGATTCTTTTAAATAGTAAGCTTCCTTGGAACATGAAAGTATTTGTTTTTAGATAATTAGCTACTTAAGTGAGGTTAGGATGATTAGGGAGGAAGAGGGGAATTTAAATATAAAATGTTAGGAGTTTCTAAACTAAAGATCAATGAAAAATGGAAATGAAATCCTAAAAGTTTAACCATTGTCTAAGGAATATTCTTATCTAGAGGTGGCTATAGGTGGTCTACAAGAACCTGAAATCACATATGGAAGGTTGTGTGTGTGCATATGTTACAAAGTGCATTTTAGGAGAGTAGATCGTGGCTTTCAGGATCTCACAGCAGGTATGTACCCGAAATTAAGTTAATCCAATGAGGCTTAGCCACTTCTGAAAAGAGAACAGGAATTAACAGAGGAAAAATCAGTTTATCTAATTTTGATTCAAAATGTATTTTTCACTTACACCTGTTTAAGAAAATATGTTTGTTAATGCTATATGTACATATATGATAGTCAGTTATTCTGTTTCTTTACACAACTGTTTTCGTAACTTTATTCCTTTAAATAATAGAACTATATGTCTATTTATTCATATCACCAACAGAGGTGCTTTTGTAATGCTCAGATTTGTCCAGGCACCATGTATGTGCAATAAAGAATGGAACTTCCCAAATCACAATAATACTAATACTCAAGAAATATACCTTATTTATTGCAACTGCATAGAAGTATGGAATCAGCCAGCTTGATTAAACAGCCCTTTTGGATTATACACTAGTTTTACTATATCTTCTTGAAACAGCTTTCTTAATGGTCTAATAGTTTGGCCAATTCAGTGAAATCCATTAAACATCTTTATGCATGGAAACTTTGTCGAAAGCAAACAGTTCTGACATCTATAAATATGGAGGAAATGAATAGTGAGATAAATATGGAGAAAAGAGTGTGCATCAGTAGTAAACATATTTAGCTGTTCTGTTTTATGATGATGATGATAAATGAGTTAGGAGATATTTTATATGTGCCAAGCACTGTGCTAGATACATTACTCACATTATCTGATTTAACCTTATGAGGCAGATATTATACTGCCTATTCCACAGACTAGAAACCTAAGTCTCTGTGTGATTAATTAACTTGTGCAGGGCTGTATAGCTTGTGGCAGAGGTAGGATTTGAACCCCAGCATTCTAAAACAAAACTAGACATGTGAAGTACAGTCATGTGCTACATAATGTTTTGGTTAATGAGGGACTTCATATATGACGGTGGCCCTATAAGACTATGAGACTGTATTTTTACTGTACCTTTTCTATGTTTAGATATGTTCAGATACACAGATACCTACCATTGTGGTATGGTTGCCTACAGTATTCAGTACAGTAGGATGCAGTATAGGTTTGTAGCCTAGGAGCAATAGGCCATACTATACATAGCCTAGTTATGTAGTAGGCTGTACCATGTAGGTTTGTGGAAGTACACTCTGTGATGTTTGCATGACAAGATCGCCTTAACAATACATTTCTCACAATGTTTTCCCATGGTGAAAGGACACATGACTGTATCGGGGAACTTTTATTTTCAGATTTGTTAATATTATTGTATGAGAAGAATCATGTAGTGGAATGCATAGCCTATATTGATATGAGTAATCTTGGAAAATCAGAGTGGTATGATGCTTCCCCTTTTGAGCACAAAGAGGAGGACATGAAGTATGAGGCCAAACAGGATGGACCAAAGGGCACTATCACATAGTGGTCATGACCATTACTTTTCACCAGACATGACTGTATGCCCGGCATCAAACAGGGTGACTTGCCTAATGGTCACTTAATACTGTAACCCTGCATGTAGATGGGATTGTTCTCATTTTACAGACAGAGGGAGGACCATTTGCCAAGGTTAAACAGCTAGTGTATGGTAGTTGGAATCTGAACCTTTCTCCCCGTCTTAACTCCCAGGCTCCTGTTCTTTCCACTTTACCATGCTGCATTTCTCTTTGATCTTCTTATAAAAGCGGTGAAATAAGCTTTCAGACATTCCTAAGAATCGTTTTTACTTAATACATATTAGAAAATATCATTAATTTGGCCAAGCTTGTCTTACAGAGGTCCCTTTCCTGCTAAGGAAAGTAGTCCAGAAGTCCAGAAATGTATAAATGAGGTTAAAAATGCAGGAGGGAGAGGGGAAGAAAAAAAGCCAGCTACATTTTCTCAAGTACCACACACATGGAAAATCAATCTTGTATTTAATGGGCTGTACATGTATTAAAAGCTATCATATTTATTCTGTCCATTGTTTAATGACCTTTATAATACCATGAAAGGAAGGCATTTTAAGACAGAGATTTTTTTTCGATAAGGGTTTTTTTGTGGAGTCAAGTGAATTGTAAGGGGTTCAGTCTGTTTTGCAAATGTATCTGGGTGTGCTGATCTTTTAGGCAAAAAAATGTGCATTTTAATGAGGTATTCTGATAACAGATATTTTCCCATAATGTTCCACTTGGGAAAAATGTTTTTGTTTCATTAGCCCTGCATATTGCCTGAGCACTTATTTGCTGTTGGTCAAGTGAAAGTTAAACAAATTTCTCTCTATATATAGTCATATCTTTGCGTGCTATTTTGTAGAAATGAAATTAAAGAAGATTGAAATGAAGTTAACTTGCGACTGTGCAAAACCCTCCATGAAGTAAAATTCTCTCTGATTATGCTTAATTGAAAGACCTGTCAACCACCCAGTTTATCTATAGCCTGTTCATCTATAGTTTTCTTTTCAGTACAGACCCTTAAAAGGTACTATTTGCATTTGAAGTCTCTTGATTTGCATTTGGTTCTGTACATTCCCAGTGGAATAGCCTAATTTTAATTTCAATTTCTCTGTGAAAACATTTTTTCCAGAAAGGTGAGCACAAAATCATTTTCACACAAAGCCTTTGGTGGGGCATTTCAGTAGGGTGGAGTATTAGACAGATTGGAGTCTGGGGCACCAAAAGGGAATGTCCTCTAAGGAACCGCCAGACTGAGTGGGAAATTCCAGCCGACAATACCACATGGGGGAGAGACAGGCTGTCTGTCACAGACCCTCTCGAGGGAGTGCCTCTTATTCAGATCATTTCTTTCCTTTTCCCAGGAAATGTGCTTTGTTTTATTCCTGTCTTAGGTCTGCTAATCACGTGCCCTTAGGTCTCTGGTTTTAGAAATATCAAAAATACCAATTTTGCCTGACATTTCCATGGAAATTAGGAGACAGCTATTCTCCCATCCCATACAAACTATATTGCTTAGTCAAATTATATATCTCCTAAGTGGGATAACAATATGCAGGTTTCATATTTGCCTTAAGATTAGAGGTGCCGTAAAAGTACATAGCAGAGTGCCTCGCATATCAAAAGAGCTCTCCTTGTACACACCTTTTGTGAGCTGGACACTCATATGCAAGTTTTACCTATGCTGCCTGTAGCAGCAGCCTTGTAAGGTAGGTATTACTAGATTTCATCAAGTCTAAGACCACAGTTTAAATTTTTTTTCATGTTGACATTTCCGACAATCTATAGAATTTTTAACTAAATGAGTGTGATACTATTATTCCCATGGCAAAAAAAAAAAAAAATGACAATTGAGTTATAGAAAGGTTAAGGTACAAGAAATATATGAAATTCCTAAATGCCAGTCTGTTTTTTCTGAATTCAGAACTCATGCTCTTAGCTAATACAGATTCATGCCATTAGAGCAGACTGGGGTTGCCTGGAATTCACAGGCATCAAATGATCCATGGTAGACTTCAGGGCATCTGTAGACCTCCTGAAATTATTTATAGTACTACTTTGTATGTGACTTTATTTTCTGGGGAGGTCAATAGGTTTTGGCATAGTCTCAAGGGGGTTCATGACCCCCCAAAAAGCTTAACAAAGAACATCTGGGAATAATCAGCCCTAGTTAGTATGTAGGATCTGGCCTTATATGGCACAACATGTTTTAATTTTTTTAAACACATTACATCTGTGGATTATTTTTGGAGGCCCAGGTTTTACCGAATCCATATTTTTACCAGATTCATGAATAGCTTCAACAAACCCTAAAGACCTCTGAGCTAGAACTGCTGTGCTTTTTACTCCTGAACTGCCCCTGTCCCTCATGATTTATGCCAAAGCAATTAGGATTTCGTGTCCTAAGTTTCCCAGCTCACTCTCTGATCACTCCTGTCCCCAGGTACCCCTGTCCCCTAGAGTGACAGCTCCCCAGACAGCCTTGTCAAAAGAGGCTTCATTTCCCCTAAACCCCTCAACCCCCAGGACCTGAAGTCAGGGCAGCATCCTGCTGACTTCCAAAATCCTATTCCTTACCTTGGCCAAACTTCTGATTCTTCTTGCCCTCAGCTAAAATACCTCCTCTCCCTCACTGCATTCCTAGGTTCCAACCTGAACAATACTGTCACACTTTCACTAAAAACCAAGATATTGGCTCATGCTTTCTTCTTGGTGGCTACACCAGCTGTGGAGACACATTGGCCTCCCAGATCCTTGGCTTTCTTATCTCTTCTGACTTCCCTCCACTTGAGCAATTCACTCCCCGGTCTACAACTAGGACTTTGACATCTCCCCACATTGCCCAATCTCTAAACATTTCAAAGACTTGCTACCCACCAAAAAATCCTCTTTCTCAATTCTTTCTGGAGCCCCTTCCTCAAACATCACCATGTGGCTGCCTCCTGAAGGCCACATCACAGTTCATCTTTTTGTTTTTAGTCCTTATCCCAAATAAATTTTGATTTGTGGCCAGGTGCAGTGACTCACGCCTGTAATCCTAGCACTTTGGGAGGTCAAGGCAGGCAGATCACTTGAGATCAGGAGTTTGAAACCCGCCTGGCAAACATGGTGAAATCTCATCTCTACTAAAAATACAAAACAATTAGCTGGGTGTAGTGGCACACACCTGTAATCTGAGGTACTTGGGAGGCTGAGGCAGGAGAACTGCTTAAACCCAGGAGGTGGAGGTTGCAGTGAGCCAAGATCGTGCTACTGCACTCCAGCCTGGGCAACAGAGCAGAACTTCGTCTCAAAAAAAGAAACAAAATTTGATTTTGAACTCTAGTTTTTGAACTCTCAAGTAAATTAAGATTTTTCAGATGTTTAAATATCCTATCAAAAACTAAAGAATTCTACATTAAAATTCATTTCTGTAACTCTAAGGCAGTGTCCTCCTCTCAAACAATGATGGTTTTTACTGAGTTTAATGAACTTAGCAAGACAAGGATGAGGATAATGCATTTTAGGAAGATATTAACACACAAGGACTGAGAAACAAGGCTGAATTGAAAATATAGTGAAGCCCTGAAACAACCAGGGAATGGATTTTGGCTCAGAAGCCTCCTTTTAGAGAACCACTACCTGGTTTCAGGCAATAGCACAGGTAATTTTAGCCGTTAGCCACCCTAAAGCCTTGGATCTCACCTTCTTTATGCCATTAGAACCCTCTTTCCATGATTCTGCTGCTGGAATTTTTCATTCTTTTTCTAAGGAAAAAGGCTTTAGTTCCCAATTCGTAAAGTACCATTGACTGTGTTTCAGAGTAGTATTGTAATCACTCAGATTGGCAGTACCCAATACAGGGCCTGGGCTTTGGTAGACACTCATTAAATATCTGTTTGAATGAACTATGTTACCATTAACTGTGTTAATATTGTCAACTGTTTTTGTCAGTGTTGTGTAACTGATGGAAGCAAATGGTATAATTAAGAAGGTTTTGGAATCAGTCAGGCCCAAGTTGAAATTCCCACTCTGCAATTTAATTAACTGTGTGATCATAGACAACATAATCTCTGTGAGTCTCAGCTTTCTGAGATAGTGTATTTAAAGCTCTTAGTGCAGTGTCTAGCGCTGTGTAAACACTTAAGAAGTGTTCCCTAATGTTTACTTTTGTGACTATACTGATGCTATCTTCTGCTTTTCCTTTCAAGTTGGGGACTCGCTTCATTATAGAAGCCATGGAGGCAGCAGGGCACTCGATCAGTACTCTTTTCCTGTGTGGAGGCCTCAGCAAGAATCCCCTTTTTGTGCAAATGCATGCAGACATTACTGGTAAGTCTGGGAAGGAGGAGAGAAGGTCATTTTTGGCTTGGCAGCAAATGGGCAGGACCAAGTTCTGGGTGAGGTGAGAATAGGGAGATATACCTGTTTTGCCAGATTATTGAAATAACCCTGAAGTCTTTATATTCATGATAGAGAAAGTGACTTCTACATATATCCAACTGTTGAATAATGGTGAGAAATAACACAAGAGAAGTTGGCCAGGACTAGATCTTAAGTCAAGCGTTTACACAACAGTTTTGAGACCTCTTTTGATCCACACGTTGTAGAGGATATTGAAGATATGAGGATGAATAAGGCATGGCTCTTGCTCCCCACGACCCAGGAATTCGGGGTCTACTGAGTAAGGGAAATAGCAAACAGGCATATTAAGGATAGTACGGCAAAAGCTCGGAGTGAGAAAAGTACAGGGTACTTTTTCATGGAAACACAGTGGGGCACCTCGTCCAGTTTCGGGCCTGATGTCAGCTCAGGGTATGTGGGATGGAAGAAGGGATTAGAAAGCTGTCTTGAAGAAAGAATGCAGAGGCTGGGTGCTGTAGGATCTGTGAGTCTGGTTGCAGACTGGGAATTTGAGCCCTAAGACTCTGAGATGCCGTGATTACTTCTCAGCTCATTACAATCAGGGATCATGATAGAGATGCAGGGAATCCAAATAATGGGCAGAGCTCTTCGTGATATCAGCATATAGTAGAGAAGGAGAATCCTTAGCAGAGACCCAGAGCCCCAAGGAAGGGGCTGCATTGGGAGGAGGCTTGCTGGTTTCACAGAGAGTGACCTGTACCTCTGTCTCTCTGGACCTGATGCCCTTACCCCTTTTACTCCACGCCTCTCCTAGTGTCTCCTAGGGACTGGTGTTCTCTCCCAGGACCCATCCCTGGGTGGCCAGGTACCACCAGGGCAGGGCAAGGGGAGGAAAGATGGGAGAGGACTGTACCCTGCCTATAGTCCCAGCTCCAGACTGTTAAGAGCCCATTTTACCCTACCTCCATTTATTATGATCCTTTGCCCTCCCTCATCCCCTGCTTTCTTACCTCTGACTGGTGGGCAGGTCAAAGTCTCCACCCCATTATCTCCCCCTTCCCCCTCCAGGTCACACAGATTCCTGCAGATGAGAGCCTTGTCTAACATTATGGACATCACTGATCTCTGCACATTAGGAGATGAAACGAAGCAAGTCACCTATTCCCAACTTAGAGACAAGTAGACTGAGGCACAAGTCTGATGACAGTGAGAAAAGCATAAGGGTAGAACTATCAGGATGTGAAGTATAGAAAGTATTACCATTAACCAAGCAGCTACTATGGGTCAGTGTGAATCACATTGTGGACACTTAATCCTCCCATACCACCAAAGGGTAGAAATTGGTGCCCCATCTTATAGACAAGCAAACTGAGGAGTGGGTAGGTGAATTAAAGTACTGGCAGGACCAATATTGTAACCATGGTGTGTCTGGACCCACTGTCCTTTTATACTGTACTGCTGACCCAGGTTTCTCCACTTTTCTGCCAAGTTTGTAACTATTTAAATGATATCCCCTCTTTCCTGAGGTGTCCAAAACCCTATAGAAGTGGGCTATTTTAAAGCAGAAGGAGAGACATAAAAAGAGCCCATATTGCCTTATAATTGTCCTCAGGAAAAAAACTATCTATAAAATTTTATCTAAAAGTCATCTGGCTGGTTCAGATAACATTGAAGCTTAAAATTTGATTTGTGACATTCCAATTTCTAGCCTTTTTTTTTTTTTTTTTTTTTGTATTTTTTTGGTAGAGACAGGGTTTCACCATGTTGGCCAGGCTGGTCTTGAACTCCTGACCTCAAGTGATCCACCCACCTTGGCCTCCCAAAGTGCTGGGATTACAGGCATGAGCAACCGTGCCCGGCCCCAATTTCCAGCCTTCTGATAGCCAAAATACTTCCTACCTGGATGCAAGAGGAAAGATGAAAGTCAGCTTTGAACAACATGGTACTATTGAAAATGAGAAACAGGGCCCACCCCCCCAGAGCAGGGCAGCTGGGAGTGACCCCGGCACTGACTTGGCACTGCAGCCCTGGACTTTGTGAAAATGGGTCATCTTCTAGGCCCTACATCCCTGGGCTGACTCAGAAGCAAGGGGGAATGCAGCAGCTTCACAGAAAGTTCTGCTTTGGAAACTGTTCTCCTCCAGGCTGTTGAATGAAAAGGCTGTTAATCGTTATTTGGATTCCGATTGAAACTGGACCTTTTGTCTCTAACTATGGACCAGTTACAGTTCCAGACAAAGGGACCTTTTCTTTAGCCTGGAATTCCTCTGCCTTTGGAAGCCTGTGACTGACAAGTGATGGCAAAGTGCATCTGCCTTTGAATGCTTTGGGTTCTGCTAAACTCATTAATGCATCAGATAAAATAGTTCACATTCCAGGCAAGCCGCCCTCTTCCTCTCCTTCACCCAGCACTCAGAGAAAAGAACACATTTGCATTTGTCCCCATAAAAGGCATGTACACAAGTAGCCAGTATAGACGTACTGTCTTTGGTGCCTTTAAACATTGTATTGCTCTAGTTTTCCTACAAAGACAGAGTTAGGGAAGAGTGTCGACCTGGCACAGGATTCTCAGAAATACATGTGAAAAACACACTGGAATTTGGGAGGTTTTTTTGGAGATAGTGTGGAGTAGTGGAAAAAACAAGAGATCAGCTCTGTGACTTTGGGCAAGTTACTTTCCCTCTCTGAGCCTCAGTTCCCTCTTCTGAAACAAACAAACAAAAAAGTTATTGTCTCCCTCATGTAGATCACCACTGAGGAATACATGCTCATGAGTGTGTAAGCACCAAGCTCTGTGCCTAGCCAAGTAGGTGATCAATAAATGTTAGTTCTCTTATTTCCTCTAGGAAGCCGCATGCCAAAAAGGAAGAGGGACATTTGAGAAAAAAAGCAGCTTATTATTTTGAAACAGCCTGCTCTGTATAAGCAGGGAAAGTGGGGCCTTGGCAGCTTGGGAAGTGTTGTCTACATGGGGAGGAAGAACCTCCTTGTACCCTGGTCATTTGATTAACTGTGGTTTCAAGAAATACTTGGTGTGTACTAAGTAATTTTAAGTTTCCCCCACTGACTTGGGACTAAATGTTCCTTCTTCTAAATTTTGTTTTTTTTTGTACTGGCAGTTTCAGTAGGGGTTTCCCTCTTCCTGTCTTACTCATTATTTTAATTATTTCTTCATTCATTTATTCACTCAGAAGCATTCTCTGAGCACACCAGTGTGCCAAGCCCTGATGTTGGCACAGGGATGCTAAGAAGAACAGTAATATCCTGCCAAGAGGTTCTTTATAAAACACAGAAAAAGCGCCCTTGGTCCTATGATCAATATCCAGAATGAGTAGAGTGGGGACTCAGAGGACAAAATGTGTCGGTGTCAGTCCGGTCCAGGCAGGGAACAGATACACACTCCAGTTAGGTTAACCAGAGGGAAGCTGAATAAAGAGTCAGTGTGCAGAGCCGTGGTCAGGGTACTGGAAGTCCAGACAACCAAGAAGTACCCTAGGATGCCAGCAGTGTTTCCACCCTGGACTTGCAGGGGTGAGGGCAGGGAGCAGTGCCCAATCTGAGCCTGGGGGAAATGTCTGAAAAGGGCATCCCTACAGGAGCTTAGTCAAGGATGGAACCAGAGGGCAGGGGGCCACAGCTGTGATCCCCACTGGCCAGTCTTCCAGGCTCAGAATAGGTGGAAGGAGGAAGGGAAGAGGTCTGAGAGGCAAATGGAAGCAGTGGGTTGGTTCCACCCTGGGTAACAGGTGTGAGGAGAAACTTCAGAAGTAAGATAAACTTTAAGAATAACAGCTAATGCTAATTTAGTGCTTTCTCTAAGCCAAGCACCATTTTAAGAGCCTCATTATAATAGCAGTTTTAATTCTCACAGCAACTCTGAGATAGGTGGAATTGTAACCCCATTTTTCAGATGAGAAAACTGAGGCACAGAAAGGTTAGGTAACTTGCCTAGAATCACACAGCTAAGTCAGTGGGGAAGCCAGGATTCAATCCCTGGCAGTCTGGGTTCAGAGCACTTTGGACAGCAACTTGAAAGCTGATAGGGGATTCACCAGGTTCACTCTGGTTTCTGGTTCCCAAAGAAAGGGGCCTTTGAGTAGCTCCTCCCTGCTTACAACTGGGGAAGCTTTTGGCAGGGTAAGGAAGGCTTGGGAAGTAAATGGTGTTTGGAGGCACTGTCTTCTAAAATGTCCCAGGTCCATAGGGAAGTCTGGGTGGTCACAGTCACACACCCATCTGTACCATTCCTAGGATTCTTAAAAGGCTTGCAGTGCTCTCTCCTGCTGGGGTCAGCACAGTCCTTCAGTGTGGCCTGGTATCTGTCCTTCCCCTCTGGATGATGGATGGGAACCTTTCCTGTCCCTTCCCCACTCATCCACTGTTTAGCCCCGGTCTTGTACATGTGGAGAGGCTTCACTTGCCATCCATCTGAATTCTAATAGTACCAGCCATCATTTCTCCAGGGCTTACTGAAGGTCAGGAAATGTGCTAAGCACCAAGTGTGTGCCCTCTCATTAAGCCTCACAACACATCTGTGCAGTACGTCTTATCATCATCCCCATTTTACATTTCGGGAAACCAAGGCTAAAGGAGTGTAAGTGACTGGCTGGACACTGAGCTAGTGCAACCAGGAAACAAACTCAGGTCTGAGCTTCTCCCAGCATTCCCACCCCACCTGACACCATGTTGGCAACGTCTCCAGCCCTGGCCCAGCTGGGGCCTTGTATTTCTAAATTCTCTGAGGTGTCTATGGGAATTTAGTTCCCTGCCCTCGTTGTCTGTGTAGCTGGAGGAAAGATCTGAATGAGGAGATAATGGGATGCAAAGAGAGTGCCTCGGGAAATCTTCTCAGGCAAGATAGGAAAAGAAATCTAAGCTTTGAGAAAATAACTCCTATGGCTTGAGTAGAGGAAGGTTTCACAGCAAAACCTCTGTAAAGTTTGTTACCATCTCCTGATTAGCAGATCAAGCTACATTATAGACCCAAGAATCCTAAATTATTTCTATTAATCTTAAACCTACCATGAACCCTCAACGACCCGGCATTGGCATGCAGAGGGTTCCTCCCTGCCTGGTGGACCCCTGCTCACCCTTCAGAGGCCTGTTTAAGCCTCATCTCCATGGTGATCAGTGATGACCGCTACCCCAGAAATGTGTTCTCTCATCATTCAGTTGCTTACCATGTGCTAGATACTGCTCTAGATGCCAGGGATGCAGCCGTAGACAAAACAGAGTTTCTACCCTCATGTAGCATAAGTTCTTGCAGAAGAGACATACATTAAACAAGATAAGTAAGTAAAATACAATGTTGGAAGGTGAGGATGAAGCAGTTAAGGGGTAAAAGGAGTGTTGAGGGAAGTATAATTTTAAATCTGATGGCCAGGGAAGGCTCAATAGGAAGGTGATGTTTGCAGAAACACCTGAGGGAGGAGCCAGCAGTTACCATGTAGGCATCTGAGAGGAAGTGTTCCAGACAAGGAACAGCATGGTCAAGGGCCCCGAAGCACACTCAGGAAGCAGCACGGAGGACAGGACTACGTGGCTAGGAGAGGAGACAAGAAGATCAGAGTGGGAGAAGTGGGGTCAGATCCAGGAGGGAGGGCCCCTTGTCAGCCACCGTAAGGGCTATGGCATGTACCGTGAGAGAGGGGAGAAGCCCCTGGAGGGATGAATCACATCCTCTCTTGCTACCTCCCTTCCCTTAGCACATCTCAGTTAGGGAACCAGGCTCTCCATAGCCTTCATCTCTCTTATCCATCTCCCTCTGAAACCTGAATAGAAGGGCACAGTCCAATTCATCTCAGCATTCCCTAGGCCAGCAAAGCAGTTAATAAACATCTGTGGATCTGAACTTGAACCAAATGGCAGGTAGCAGCTTGCAGGAGCCTGAAAAACCTGGGCACTGAGGTCTCGTGAGTTGATACATATGATATTGGCTCTCTCGGGCCTTTGGCTACTGCACCAGCAGGCACAGGCAGTGAAATCTTTTAGAACCAAGTAATCCCAAGGAACAAGGAAGGGAGGATTGTGGGGAGTTGGGAGGGAGGCCTGCCGCTGCCCTGATGTCAGGTGTTTTTGCCACTGTGGCTGCTTGCTGGCTCCTAACACCCCCCTGGCTCTGCTCCCTAACCAAGGTGTGGCCTTATCCTGCACAGGCATGCCTGTGGTCCTGTCGCAAGAGGTGGAGTCTGTTCTTGTGGGTGCTGCTATTCTGGGTGCCTGTGCCTCAGGGGATTTCGCTTCTGTACAGGTATGTGAGGACCAGGGGGTGGGGTGTGGCTCCTCCTTTGTCTGAGGCCATCCTTCCTCTTGACAGCAACTCACATTTTACAAAACACTCATAAGATATAATTAAGAAATTATAGGTTCCAGCCAGGGAAAGCACAAACACTTCTAGCTTCAGGCATATTTATTGCATTGACTTGGCCTTAGTTCATGTTGGTTGTTCTGTTTTTCAGTTGGTTTTTTCCTTTCTTCTTTAACATAAATTATTCATTTTAAATTTCCCCTTGACCACTTTTCTTTGAGCACATGAAACAGGTAAGGCTCAAAACTTCAATTTTTCATGTGTATTTCAGATTTTTGTTTGCCTGTGTCAACCCCACCATTTTTCAAATACCTTTATGGCCTCTATCAACAAGACAAAAAATGAAAATGTTTGTATTAAGCCAGGTATGGTGGCTCATGCCTGTAATCCCAGCACTTTGGGAGGCTGAAGCGGGTGGTTCGCCTGAGGTCAGGAGTTCCAGACCAGCCTGGCCCACATAGAGAAACCCCTACTAAAATATAAAAATTTAGCTGGGCATGGTGGCAGGTGCCTGTAATCCCAGCTACTAGGGAGGCTGAGGGAGGAAAATCACTTGAACCCAGGAGCCGGAGGTTGCAGTGAGCAGAGACCGCGCCATTGCACTCCAGCCTGGGCAACAAGATCGAAACTCCATCTCAAAAAAAAAAAAAGAAAGAAAATGTTAGTATTAAATAAAAAAGGAATTAAAAAGGTAAATAAGGAACAGAGATATAGGAAGAAGGAAACAATTTGGTGGCTGTGATTAAACACATAATTTGGCTCTGAGCTTCTTGGCAGCCAAGACAAAAAAGAACCCATGATAAATTGCATAATTCTTATTTTCAAAAAGAGGAAACATACTAGTTTCTGGTGAAAGACAAAACTTTTCCTCCCACCAGATTGTGAAAGACTTTGCACACATCGGGCTTTGTGGAGAGGTTTTGAGTGCTAAAATATTACAAAAAGGTAAAGAACGAATGTGATGTAGAGGCTAAGAGCATACAGGTTCTAGCATTAGACCACCTGGGCACAAATCATAGCTTGACTACCCACCATCCCTTGTGGCCTAAACACTCTACTCTGCACCTCCACTTCTTTATTCATAATAGTAATTGACAGCACATCATGAGTTCTTTCTGTGTGTCAAGCATGCTCATTTAGTCTCTGCAACAGCTGTTATCCCCATTTTATAGTTGAGGAACCTGAGGCCTAAAGATGCCAAATAACTTGGCCTAAATGAAACAGCTAGTAAATGCCAGAAACAAGAAGTCTGGCTCTAATTTCTTAACTGAATATTTGAGAGATATCTGTTCAGCTAAGAAGCAGAGTGCCCAAATGACTTGCCCATGGTCTCAAGGTTAGGACTACAAGCCAGGTTTTTCACTAGTAGCTCAGTAATTAGAGCTTCATTTATTGTGAGCCTCTTATGTGCTAGACACTGTGCTAGATGCTTTTAGGATAATCTTCCTAATACCTACTGCAATGCTCATGAGCCACAGAAATTGGGCAACAGAGATCCAGAAAGCTTAAAAAACTTAAGGGTACACTGTTAGGAACAGACAGATATAAACTGTGATGCTGTTTGTACGGCATTTTGGAAAACGTGGTACACTACATACTGTCCAAGCCTCTGAAACTAATGACTGTGAAATCTCCCTCATAAGGAATTAAATCCATCATGAATACTTGTGGGTTCTAAGTGAGTCTTTAAACAAAGATGGTATGGTTCAATTCTGGACTTTTTTCTGGATAGTCTGGTCCTTTCTCAAAAATAGCACATGGAGATATTTGTTGTTGAAATAACAATGAATTGTCACTTATTCTTTTAATGTATCAGCTGACAGAGATGTTCTCACAACCGGATATCTTGTCCTTCCTGCAACAAATTATAATAGTTAAAACAGGAGGGGCGCTTTTACTACTGTTCTGCAGAGGTTACCCTGTGTTGTGAACTGAATATTTTGTAGTCCTGCAAAATTTGCCCTGACACTCAATGTGATGGTATGTGGAAGTGTGTCTTTGGCAGATAATTAGGGTTAGATGAAATCATGAGGGAAGGAGCCTGGTCTGATGGGTTATGATGGTCTGATGGACCCCTATACAAAGACACCAGAGAGCCTGCTTGTTCTCTCTGCCATGTGAGGACACAGCAAGAAGACAATTGTTTACAAGCCAAAAGAGGGCTCCCAGCAGATCCTGACCTTGCTGGCACCCTGATCTCAGACTTTGAGCCTCAAGAACTGTGAGAACATAGATCTCTGTTGTTTAAGTGCCCAGTCTATGGTATTTTGTAATAATAGCCTAAGCTAAGACACCTCATTTAATCTTGACAGTCTTCCTGCTTGCAGAATGTATGTTTTTATCCTTCTGCGATAGGAAACCAAGCTTCAGAGATGTTCTAAATAATTTCCCCAAGGCTACACAGAAAGGGTAGAAGCAGAATTGAAATGAAAGTCTCTCTGGGTCTATATCTTGTCTTGATTGTCATTCTTTTTCTTTTTTCTTTTTTTTTTGAGATGGAGTTTTGCTCTTGTTACCCAGGCTGGAGTGCAATGGCGTGATCTCGGCTCACCGCAACCTCCACCTCCTGGGTTCAGGCAATTCTCCTGCCTCAGCCTCCCGAGTAGCTGGGATTACAGGCACGTACCACCATGCCCAGCTAATTTTTTGTATTTTTAGTAGAGATGGGGTTTCACCATTTTGACCAGGATGGTCTCGATCTCTTGACCTCGTGATCCACCCGCCTCGGCCTCCCAAAGTGCTGGGATTACAGGCTTGAGCCACCGTGCCCAGCCGATTGTCATTCTTTTTCTAATTTGTTCCATTTATTTTTTTCTTTAAAAATATTTTCTGGCTTCTTAAGTGTTCAGTCATGTATTTTCTGAAAAGAAATGCCATAGGACACAAATCAGGAGATAGTCTGTAGCTCAAACAGAGATAGTGTCAAGATGAGGCTGCTCTGTCAGATACTTCCAGATACTTCATACCATGACTTATGGCTTCATTGATATCTTTTTTTTTTTTTTTGAGATGGAATCTTGATCTATTACCAAGCTGGAGTGCAGTGGTGCGATCCTGGCTCACTGCAGCCTCCACGTCCTGGGTTCAAGGGATTCTCCTGCCTCAGCCTCCTGAGTAGCTGGGACTACAGGCACGCAGCACCATGCCCAGCGAATTTTTGTATTTTTAGTAGAGATGGGGTTTCACCATGTTGGCCAGGATGGTCTCCATATCTTGACCTTGTGATCTGCCGGCCTTGGCTTCCCATAGTGCTAGGATTACAGGCGTGAGCCATTGCCCAGCCACTTCATTGATATTCAAAACTGTGATCTCCAGCTCCAAAGGAATTCCACTCATTTTTTCCCCTAATGAGAAACTCAGCTTAATTCCACACTGACATCTTGGCTACGTGAGAGAGTTGCTATTAGTCTTCTGGAACAGAATCCAAGATATGGTAGATCAGATTTGGAACTGATGACTTGAGTAGCAGCTACAAGGCTCACAGCATTGTAAAGACGAGCTCATGTCTCCTATTCAGCCCAAGGATGTATGTGCCTGTCCTGATCATTTTCAGGAGACACAATCTAGTAAAGGGAACCCCTAGCTGAGAGAGGCCTGAGGTCTTATCTGTCATCACTTATTTGACGGAATCCCCATAATCTGGAGTTCTGTGCTTGCTTATGTATCCTCAGACAATGTCACTTGTTCTCTCTGAGTGCTTGTTTTATTTGCTTGTCTGTTTTATGTATTTTTTAAAAAAATGTTTTAATAAGAATTGCCACTCATATGGGACTGTTGAAAAGAAGAGACTTTTAAAGTTCCAGTGATCTCTCAGGTGTAACCAATGTCATTAGAATGATTATGTCTGGAACTGCTTTAGAAATGAAAATGCATATAGACTTGGCATCATTTGCTCTCCTCCAAAGAACAAGGGCCAACCCGTGTGCCCCAGGCCTGGGGACCAGCTCCAGATTCAGGCAAGGTAAGGCAAAACAGAATTGCTTTCTTTCTGTGATTCATATTTTCATCCTGAACTTCAACATAGTCTTTTATTTGAACTTCAGAGATCCTGGCTTGGTTTGTAGGGTGCCTGCCTTTCCCTCTTCAAGAAAGTTGAGCAATTCCTTCCTGCATCTCAACTATTCCAGCAAGCCAGATGTTTTATCTTCCATAGACGACGTATCTGGTGGTTAGATGGAGGATTTCACTTCTTATCTAGATAGGCCAACTTTGGTAGGCTCAGACAGAGTCATCTCCTTCAGATGCTAGCAAGGCTAGGAAGAATCCAGAGAACCCAGATAGTAGATGTAGGGAACAATTTTATGTGCTTGAGGAGACGGGTTTCTGAAATTTTCTGAATTTCTTAGGCCCCTGATCAATTATTTCAGCCAGGGGTAGAGTCTTATACCTTTCTTGGGTGATACCAATGGATCAGAATGGATCCACAGCTGTAGATTTTATTTATAGCATTGTAGACTCTGTGTATCTCAATTCTGGGAGAATTTTATCAGGGGAAGGGAGACTGGATAGAATTTTCTGGTGGGGCCTTAATAAAAGATTGGTCAACAACAAAATCTACTGATATTGCAAATTTTGAAATAAGCTGACAGTTCCTAGCTTTCTCCTTCTGTTCTTCTATCCATTCAGATTCTCCTTCTCTTAGTTTTTCTCTGTCTCTTTTCCTCTGTCCTTTCCGCTCTCTCTTCTATTTTTTTGCCAAATTCAGATCTCACAGAGAATACTGATATAGCCATTCATTCATTCTAAAGGATAGAATGACTCAGACTATCTTAAAGAGTTGTCCCTCTTTAGAAAAGGTATTTTCTTTTTAGTAGTTTTCAAAACTTTGTCTTTACTAAAAAGTACAGTTTCCTTGAGGACAAGTATTCTTGAGGGCAAATCATGATCACCTTTATATCTGCAGCTTAATGAATAATATGGAATCAACCACAGATATGCTGTTCTCAAGGTAAAAGATTAGCTATTGAATAGGTGGGAGGGGACACAAGGAAGGCAGTCCACTTCCGCTCCCTTTACTCTTAGGAATGTGGAATCCCTATAGTCTTGACCTCTGTGACCTTTCTACTTGATCCCTCCCCCATCATCAGTAGAGTACAAAATGATGCTCTATAATTCTGAATATCTTGGAAAACAAATAATTATAATTAGAAGTTGAGATTGTTCCATAACACTTTTCTAGGCTCCCAGGTCCTGGAAAATCAACAAGTGGGAAAAAATATGTTTATGAAATACCACTATGCTTACATTTTCTAAGCACAGACAGTTAAAAGATTCTAAGAAATATAAGGACAGATAAATAAAACAAGAAGCAGTTTCAAGTCATTGTGAGAGAGAAAACTCAGTCATATGGCAAAGAGACAGCAATATGAAATGGCTCTCTACTGTTTCCTTCAGGCCCCCTGCAGATGTCATTAGCTTTCTATAATTTCTTATCTTCAGGGGCAGTTTTTATTCAAGTCTATGTAGACAAAACAAGCTTTAATTCCAGCAGTGCTATTTGACTTTAACGACTACCCCCATCCCTGAAAAAAAGGAACTGAGGAAGCATCTGAAGCAAAAGTCAGTAAAAGGAGACAGTGATGAGATCAAAATGCATTCAGCAGTCATTTAAGGGGAGTACCAGTGTAAAGAAAATAAGCCCTTGGAATCAGCCAATTAATCACAAACCTTCCTTCCTCCCACTGCGTGAGTGTTGCCACCCCTGTAAACCACTGACTCCATGCACTCCCACCATCAACTTTCCCTGTCATGTTCCAGACGGACTCCTGTGTCTTCAAGACCAATACATGTAAGTGGCCAGTTGAGAGCTGTGATTACTCACCCTTTCTGTAATGGGTGCCCACAAGATAAACCATCCATGCTGACTGCATTGGTCTACCCTGGAGGTCAGTCCTTGCAAACATCCTCATTGCTTAGCCGAAGCCTCTCCTTCTGTTCTTTTTCATGAAATTCACTTCATTTAGAGCCAGTTATACTCATCACCTGTTATGCATTTCAGAGCCTATGATTTTTGTATATATTATGTCTGTCATTCTGTTTTATTTTGTAAGTCAACTTTCTATGATTTTTTTTAGCTCTATTTGGCTTTCTCTCACCGTAAATACCAGTTTTGCTATTTGCAAAATAAAAGCTGATTATCATTTTTTTAATTTCTAGAGATTAGGAAGGACTGAAATATTGTAGATATTCAGAAGTATGAAACCATCCCATTTCTTGGTGCATTCAATTTAGTTTGCTTGCATTTTTTTTTCATTTTTCTGGAATGCAAACAATAATTCATGTTCTTTGGGGACAAAAATTAAAAAATTTAATTAAGATGAAAGAAAATATGAAAACATTGATCTTTTTATCTTAAAATAACCTATTTTAAATTATTTAATTATTAACTATTTAATATTATGCTTTCTATTGTGTTAGTCTTTTTGTACCTATTTTAAAATCATTTTAAACTTTTTAATTAAATGTATTCATACAGTGCATAAAGTTTTATCTTTATAGACCTTTTCCTATACCCCAGAATATATAGTAAACCTCTTTATTTATCATTTTTGTAGGCTGCATAATTTTCTACATGATAGAAAATATATATATATATATATATATATATATATATATATATATTTTTTTTTTTTTTTTTTAGACTGAGTCTCACTCTCTCACCCAGGCTGGAGTGCAGTGGAGAGATCTTGGCTCACTACAACTTCCACCTCCCGAGTTCAAGTGATTCTCCTGCCTCAGCCTCCTGAGTAGCTGGGTCTACAGGTACGTGCCACCACGCCCAGCTAATTTTTTGTATTTTTAGTAGAGACGGGGTTTCACTGTGTTAGCCAGATGGTCTCCATCTCCTGACTTCGTGATCCACTCACCTCAGCCTCACAAAGTGCTGGGATTACAGGTGTGAGCCACCTTGCCGTGCCAGAATATATTTTAACTTATTTTACCGGTCCTCCAGACATGAATATTTAGGGTTTCTCCATTGTTTTTAAAGAATGCTGCAACTGATATCTCTGTGACTAAATGTTTTCACACATCCTAAATTATATCAGTAAAATAAAATTGGAGGCATGCAAAAAGTGTGCCCAGCATTTAGGGTTCTGATATATAGTGTAGATATACTCCCATCAACAGTGTGTGAAAACTCAGTGTTTACGTTTCTTGTGTATAAGGAATCTCTTGCCGTGGATTTTAGTTCTATTTAGCTTTCATCCCCAGGGCCTCTTATAATCCTACTCATTTCATATATGGTCCTGATAGTATCAGCTTTTTTTAGTAGCCTTTTGCCCTTTGCTGCTTAAGCGTGTGTTTCTGGATGAGATTCTGATTCCTAATTAAATAGATTCAGATTACTGATTGAATTTTCTGAGTATCCTGTCCCGTATGTCAAGGTCCCTCAGAAAGTCAACAGAAAACTTTAGAATGGTATAATAATTAATAGTCAAAAGAAGAATTCAGTTAAGAATATGATGGCCCTAACATTCATTATTCTTATTGCCACACCTGGTTAATGAGACATTTTTTAAAGACTTTCCTCTACCCCTCCAGAAAAAAAAAAGAATAAAACAAAAATAGATCAGGTTCTGATTAATTATAAAACTTCTGGCTCCAATCCAGTTTGCAGAGTGGTACCATGGATATAAAAGTCAAAACATTAGCTCAAAATTATAATTTTTTAAGGAAATTATTTCAATAGAAGATACACATCATTTGCCTCTCCTCTTCCCTACAGAGTGATCCAAGAGCAGGATCTGTTACTTTCCATCCATTGTCATTCATAGAATCCTTGAAGCAACTCAGGGTTGTTAGCAGCGACCCTTGCACAGATGAGGGCTCTGAAGCATAGAAATGTTGTATAACTTGCTTAACACAAAGCCCATGCTCTTTGTATTCCATCAGCCCGTATCCTATAAATATATATACATTGCTAGGGGTGGCAACTCAGCTACCTCTCACAAGGTGATATGGTTTATAAAAATAGCATCACACATTTGTCATCATTGCTTGGTTGAGTGTCCAACATAGAAATAAAAATAAAAAGGTTGCCCTCTTTGGTATTAAAATATTCTAATGCATTAGAGAATGATCATACTCACCAGTGTTATTTTGCTCTATTTATTTGCTTTTAATTATAATATATGCCTGTTTACTTTTTATAAATATAAACAAGGTAGATTTAAAAAAGCACTTTACGTAGATATAAAAAGCACTTTAAGAACATGAATGAAATACTTTAATAAAGAAGTACAGTAGATTAAGGAATACTGTGATAGATTAAAAGAACTTGAATTAAAAGATACTTTAATGTTGTTGTTACTAACACAAAGAATTACGCTAACAAAACGTATTTTCCCAAATATCTCTCTCACCTCCCCACCCACAATTTTTATTCAGGAATATGAGAATTGGGCTTTTATAAAAGCAAACAATGGCTAAATATCTATTAAGTTCTTAGAAACTTTGAAGGATTACAGAACTCTCTATCATAAGGTTTGCCTATTTGACTTGATTTTATTCAAGATGGTATTTCATACTCATGTAAACCTAAAAAAAGTATAAGATTATCTCATAGAAACAAGTGTCTGTAAGTAATTAATTCTTCACTCTAATTACTATTTATGCCTTTATTTTTATTATAAACTTTCTTGTTAGAATAAACTAGAAATAGGTTGTTCTTTCTCTACACTAAAATAACTCATGAATAACAGTGAAATACATGCTGTATAATATGCAGCACAGTAAATTAAGCTATGGATTCAAATAAGAGATCAGGAAAGACAAAGCTTTTAGTTAAATCAGGAATATTCTGTGACTGGAAAAATTGCCTTGAAAAATAACTACACACACATATACACACACACATACACAAACACATACATACTACTAGAAAAAGTTTGATATTCAGTTCAGACCGTGGAAGGTACAGTGTCTTAAAAGAGTTTCAGTTGAAGCATTTAGGCAAATGATCAAGAACATGCAGAAGAAAAAGAAAGAAATCATAATTATAGTTTCCTAACAGAGGTATTTGATCCTCTGCAATGAACCATAAGAAACTATCATGGGATCACAATCTTGAATAGCATGTCTTTAATTGTATGCATTTCAAAGAAATTTGAACATTTAAAAAAGTTATACCATATTCAACGTTGTATATAAAGACATTTTCTACACTATTATCATAATAATTTTATAAATGAGGTAACAGGCTTAGAGAGGTTAAGTGAGTTACCAAAGCCAATGGCTAGATAGTGAGAGAGCCAGAATCCAAGTCCTAGCCTACCACCCAAAGCAAGGACTGTTGAGCTCAGCCACAAGTGGAAATGGACTCTTATGGGGCTAAGTGATTACCATTATTTTAAAAACTAGTATCAGAAATAGATGACAAGAATTTAAATGTATATTAAAATATCTCTTTGGTAAATGTTAGTGTCCTCACTGGTAAACAGAGAGCACCCTCAAATCAGAGCAATTTGAGAGGGTTTAAAAGAGGGACTGTTTACAAAATTGCAGTCATAGAGACATAGAGGAATCACAGGGAGAATGTGGTAGCCTGGAGTTTGGAATGGCTGGGCCTGTAGAGGCAAGGAAACAGTGCAGTTACTGGAAGCCCAGAACAGAGGGCTGTGTGGAGACTGCACAGTGACCCTGGAAGAAAAGGGCTGCACTGCACTTTATTCTCTCTCTCTCTAATCTCCTGCCAGCCTCACCGTTGGCTGAAATCAGAGTCAGAGAGCAAGGGAGGCTTTTGATATATTCTGTATAAGGCCACATCTCTAGGCTCAGAGGAGGGTGGGAGGGATCTTCAGAAGCACTTGGAGACATCCAACTGAGTCACCCAGACTGGACTATTCAGAGCGGTCTGCAGACTAGAGGCCAGTCTCTAAATGGTTTGATCAGATTTGCTATGAAACAAAGAACTTGCATCAGAATGTAAATCAATTATGTCACCAAGTGTACTGTTTAGTTCAGCTGTCATTTTATTCACAGCAAGATGTTCTCAATGAAGGAATCCGTGTGCTGGCTTACATCCTGGGGCAAACCCCTTTCACCATTACAGAGGAGCCCTTTGAATAGGACTGAGATTCCTTGCTCTGTAGTTAATGATAAACATGCTGGAGTCCCTTTCCCTCCTTGGATTTTCCTACCTTACCTTCTACTAAAAAGAAGAAAATGAATATTTGCCTGTACCTATTCTGAGACTGGCACTGTGCTAAGGTACTTTAGATGACATTTAATTCTTGCAAGTTAGATTATTCACTTCATCTTTACAGACAAGAAACAGGCTCAAAAGTTTAAGTAACATGCCTGTGGTCTAACAGCTAGCAAGTGACAGAGCCAGCAATCAAATTCAGATCTGACTCCAAAGTCCATGCCCCTCACTGTTTGTAGACTATCCCATGACTGTGCTTAAAATTATCTGACATTAACACCAAGAAATGAAGCAGGGTTGTTGGGGGGATTGCCTTATATGGAGACCTATGACTCTGTTCCTCATACATATGCTAATCATGATTCCTGGGAATAGATACAACCCAGCTCCCCTCAATCAGATAGCACTGTTTATGTATACCATGTTACTCCATGTTACAAAGCCTTGCCCAGCCCAGCTAACCAGGTCAGAGATGAATCCAGTTTGTTTCTAAGGGGTTGTCTGTTGCCATCACTTTTTAAGCCTGGGAAGTCGGGAAGAAGATAGGGAGAAAGAATTCATGAGAAGGATGCGTTTTCTTAGAAATGTTATTAATTGGCTGGGCAAAACAAGAGAAGGAAATAAAATAGCTGCTCCTTACTAAGTAAAGGCATCTTCTTCCCTTATCTCATTAAAAATTAAAAGCACTCTTGGTTTAAGTAGGGTAAATTAGTAATTAAGTGCTATATAATGAACTTGTGTAAACAGAATATTGAAGGGGAAGCCAAATTAATCACTCCACTGGCTTGTTTTTGCCCCCATTAATGCACCTTTTACTCAGGTCCTTCCTGTAATACCAGGATGCATTTTCTGCTCTCCTCCGCTGCTGGAGATTGGGTGGGCTGTGATAGCTGGGCTGACAGATGACAGTAGACTAGATCTGGAAAAGTCATGTGTGGGGGCCTCGATTCAAAGTAGGTGATAAGGATGGCTGTTTTATTTTTTAAGCCAAGGCTTATCAACACAAGCCTACATGTGACAGGAACAGCCTTAGATGGTAGCAGGACATCAAAGAATTAGACATAATGTTGGTACCCAAGGAATTTCCAGTCTACAGGTTGGGGGGAGGTTGGACACAGATGGATACAGATATGAAAAATTCTAAGGTGTAAAGGCAAAGACTATTTGCTTGGACTCAAATCTTGGCTCTACACTTACCTTGGGTGACTTACTTAGTTTCTCTATGCCTCAGAGGCCTCATCTGTAAAAGATAACAGCAGAGATATATTATCTCATAACTCATGTTGTAAGGAGTAAACGTGACTATACCTAAAGCAAAATAGTCTTATTAATGTTGGCTATTTTGGTTTAAATTGCAATTACTCTGCAATGGAATGATGGAGCATTTGAGGAGTGTCTTCCACTGCCTTAAGAGGGCTGGGAAAGTCTTCCAGAGGAGGCAACCTTTGAACTGGGCCTTGAGGATTAGCTGGTGATAGAGCTAGAATTCAGGGTGCTGTGGGACCCCCAGGCCTATGCTTTTCATCTTGGCTGCAAAGTGCCTCCTCTGAAAGCAGAGGAAGGAGCTTGGGCCTCAACTAGGGACAAATCTCTCTCCATTTCAGCTCAACATAGTAAATATTAGTAATTACTGCTGGATCCTCAGTCTTGTAGTATCGTGGCAACTACCTGCCAAGTATGTGGGGCAAGGAGTGGAAAGAGTAAGTGAGCTGAGTCCATCGCAGGCAGGGTAAGAGGAAATCAAATGGAGCAGCAGAAAGTAGCCCTCTAAGTCACCTTGCTGAACCCCATGGTGATGGCATCTCCTCAACTTACTAGCTGTGTGAGCAAACCTGGCTGGGCAAGCTACTTAATTTCTCCAAGCTCAGTTCCATATTCACTGACCCGATTGAGTTTCCACTAGTATTCTGTGAATGAAAGCACATTTAGCACAATCCTGTTCAGCAGAAAAGTACTTTTATTATCCCTGTGTTCGCTTGATCTTCACCACAGTCATAAGGGATAGGTGGTATCATCGTGCCACTCTATTAAGCAAAAAATTGAGGCACCAAGCTATTGAAAAGTTTACGTTTACCTAGATGGTTAGTAGCAGAAAAATGGTTTTGAACTCAAGTGGTCTGGCTCCAGCCCTGCTCTCTGCATATCTCCCACAGCCCCATGCTTTGGAGGGTACCTATAGCTGATTTGTGTGTCACATGCTAGATTTGCATGTCAGGGTAGATACTGCTCAAGTATGTCCAGACCTCTCACTCACTACTGAGGAAGAAGTTCTTTCTGCTTGAGGGAATGATGGGGCAGAACTTATAGCTGTAGTGACCCTTTGACAGGTGGGGCAGGTAGAGCAGGCACAAGTGACTCACGAGGGAGCATTAGCCCGAGGATGCAGTAGGAATGCTGCTACTGCACTGATCTTGGCAGTTTTGCTTAGTGAACAAAACAATTTATTTGTTTATTATTCATACTCTGCTTCCACAAAGGATTTAAGAAAGCTTACAAAAAGGGGCTAAGTAGGCTACTGGAATAAAACTCACAAGTTAGAAACAATGTAAAAAGAGGAAAATACACCAATCCCTTATACTAGGTGGGACATCCTCTAACTCAAATGCCTTAAGGTGCCACCCAGGCCATACAAACATGGGAAGATACCAGCAAAGGACAAGGTGATTCGATTCTGTGTTAGGTAAGAAAAAAGTACTAGAAAAGTGTGAGTACTAATATTTGTATTCAAAGTACTGCCACAGGATGTTGAAATTCAGGTTGTTTTAACTCTGGATTGGTGAGTGTCACACCAAATATCTATGGGACAGATCTGGCATACCTATGGGTCCCTGACCTGGACTAGGCAGTTCTTCTTCTTATTTTTTAATGGGGTCTCGCTCTATTGCCCAGACTGGAGTGCAGTGGCATAATCATGGCTCACTGCAGCCTCAAACACCTGTTCAAGCAATCCTCTAAGGGATTACTTTGAACTTCAGGCAACCAAGGCAAAACTGGGCAATACGTCAAGTCATATGGAGTCAAGGAAGTGTACCTGTTCTTTAAAAGAGACCACGTTTTTCCGTATACCAAATTCTAACATTATTATTTCTTTAAAAATAAACTTAGAAATCCTTCCATGGAATTCTTATAGAAGAAGACAGAAGAACTTGTTATATACAACCTTGCCAGAGCCCAGATCATAACTTGAAACCTGACTTTGTGTCTAGGATAGCCTGGGTTTATAGCTTTTTGGAGATGTCGCTTGACCTAGGGATATAACCAAGAATACCCAGTTTGGTAGATAGATAGCATGTCCTTTCACCTTTTTTCCATGAATATTTCTTCCTTTGGCCAGCTTTGCAAACAAAGCTGTTTTACTGACCTAGGAGTATCTCACAGGACTTCAGTACTAAAGCTTTTTACCGGCCTGGCATCAGAGAAGTGCTAAAATGAAGCACCCATCAATCGAGAAGGGCAACAGATGTTGAAGCATATCAAATATCAGTAAACAGCAAGCCCACAGAGACTGCTGAACTTGGAATCCTCATAGCAAAAATACCCTGTTGCCTTTAAGAGAGAACACTGTGGACTTTTATAAACCACATTAAGTGATGCATTTTTTTTTTCATTTGGACAACTGCTACCCTATGAAATATTTTGCCTGAAAGATGGTCTGCTATGCTCTATTTTTTTTTAATCTCTACTTTTTTTAAGGGCAAACTTAATGCTCACAGAGTGTTCTAGGCTCTCAGCCCTGGAAATATAGGTCTTCAGTAATTGAGAGGAGTTTCATGTTCAGCTTATCTAGTACCCTGTCTTTTACTATTAGCAGTATGATTCATATTATAAGTAATAAATTGGGCTGTATTTCAAATCCTGTCGCTGTGCACCGGATTAGTCCTTTTACCTCTCTAAGCCTACTTACTCATATGTATAAAAATAAGACTATTAAGGGCGCCTACCTTATGCAATTGTTGTGAAAATTAGATGATATGTATAAAGTATTTGGCACAGTTACTGGTACAAATAAACTCTCAATGAGAGGTATACAAAGTTTTAGTAATATTTATGATGATAACTATCATTACTATTAGCTGACTATAAATTACATGCTGTATTAATGCTTTACATACATTACTGAAAGATAGCTGGGCTGGTCCTTTGCCTGTTTGCTCTCGGCAAGTGCCTCTTCCCCTGCTCTGCTGTGTATTACACTTCTAGGTTCTCTTGCACCCGACCTCTGGGCAGGTTTGGCCAAGGGGAGATACTGGTAGGAGAATGACATGCAGGCAGAAGTTAGGTCATTTCTCCACTTCGCTACAGCAGCAGCTGCATCTTCTGTCTGATTCCAGCTCCCAGACTCTCTCAGGTCCCAGTTCTGGCCACTCAGCTTTTCTTTGGTTTCTGTTCTAGGCTGACATTCCCTGCTCCTGGCTCTGGTCCCACCACTGCCTCCTATCATCGCTTGATTCCTAAGAGGGGTAGCAGCTGTCTGCTGTTGGTAACCTGTGTGTGGCTTCAACAACCTGTTTGGCTTCTAAGTTTCTTATGTCACCAATGAAACTAAATTCTTATATTTAATTCCTGCTGTTGAAAGACCTAGCATAGTTTCAGCTATTGTGACTGGACTCTGACTGCTATCACTGCTTTTAAATACTAAGAGACAGTAGTCCTTACAGAGAATTCACTTCTCCTCTCCATGTTGGAATGAGCCAAGCCAACTGGAGAAGGGATGGCTGGTTATCACAGAGATGTACTAACTAAAGCTCAAAAGACAAGAAATTGCCCTAAGCATCTTTGATGAATACTGCCAATACTGAGTTTGGCACTGAGGCCTGGAACCTCAGGTAGCTTACCCCTCTCTGAGGAGACAAGACTTCAGTACAAGTCATAGCCAAGCGCAGTACGAGGTAGTGTCTAGTCATAAGGAATAGGAACTCCTCTTTCTTGAGCCAGAGCCCTGGACCATTCACTATTCTAGGTGAGTCACTATAATAGGTATGTGATTATTCTCATACCCCAAATAAGGAAATGGAGGCTCAGAGAGGGCAAGTGATTTGCCCAGAGTCACACTACTATTAAGAAGTAGTCTTAGCAACTTACATTTGTATATCCTGGAACCTGTGTTTATTGAACTTATATCTGTTCCTCAGAGTTTTCTAAGCTTTTTGTCAGTTTTAAAGCAGATAATAAGAAAACTGCATACATAATTCATATTACCCTGGTATGATAGAAATGACCTTACAGAAACAATATTCAACCTTATTCACCTAATTCTCAGAACAGGTTTATGTGGAAAGTTTATTGTGTTCATTTTTTACAGATGAGAAAGCAGACTCAAAAAAGTAAAGGAACTTACCCAAGTTCACACTGAATGTTTATATTCAACCTAGAATTTGAATGCAGGTTTTTCTGTCCCCAAGCACATGCTCTTTCCACTTGGTGACATCCAAGAACTGGACTACATGTAGTATAAGACCAAGTGTTGTGTTTTTTGTTTTTTGTTTTTTTTGAGACGGAGTCTCACTCTGTTGCCCAGGCTGGAGTGCAGTGGCGTGATCTTGGCTCACTGCAACCTCTGCCTCCTGAGTTCAAATGATTATCCTACCTCAGCCTCCTGAGTAGCTGGGATTACAGGTGCCCCCGTCACACCGGGTAATTTTTATATTTTTAATAGAGATGGAGTTTTCACCATGTTGGCCAGGCTGGTCTCGAACTCCTGACCTCAGGTGATCCACCCACCTTGGCCTTCCAAAGTGCTGGAATTACAGGTGTGAACCACCCCACCCAGCTTAGAAATTTTTTTAAAGGTTGGGGAGCAAGGCCAGGTTCCCCATCTTCCAGGAACAGACAGTTGGGTTAGAGAAGTATATGTAAAGTGACCTGAAACCAGAGAGTGCCAATGCATAATCTACTCTCTGGTAGTGACTACCAGCAGGAAAGAGAAACCTGGTTTTGTGTAAGAAATGGGGCTTGAAATGGGCTGGAGTGGAAACATTAACTTAGGAAAGGTAGAAAACCAGCAGGAAAAGGGCTTTTTAGATAGAGGTGCTGGTGAGAGCAAAGGAACAGATGCAGACAGAACGGAGATCAACCGTAACTCCTGGGAAAGGTCCTAGTTCAGGAGTAGTGAAAGAGAAAGTTGGATACATAGGACCACAGCTGATTACAGGTGAGGGTTGTTAACCACAAACAGATCAATTAGGAATTTGATCAGCAGTCTTGGGAGTACCTGTTGCTCAGTATTCCCTCATCCTTTAACTGTCTTAAAAAAATGTTGCAAGCTGATAGTCTCACTTTAAAAAAAATTAACAACATTAAGTGCTTCTTAGATAATACTGCTTTCTGCTTCAAAAAAAAATAGCTTGTAAAAAAGTCAACCTGTGAGTAATAATAAAAGTTTATTACTTATCTCTAACAGTTTTGAAGAGTCTCTGAAATAGAAGGGGAATACTCTTTAAATATCCCTAGAAATGCTATCCTCTTTCACAACAGTTCCTTTGCATACAGAGTGTTATAAAATAAGACATTGGAGAATTTCAGGATGGAGAAGGCACCTTCTGAAGCAATGTCATTGAGAGATGGGGAGCAAGCCACTTTGTACCAGCTCAAAATCTAAACCCTCCTCCCTCCCCCCAGCCCCCTCCCTGACACCTAGCCCTGGAGGAGCCTGTATGTTGGATGGAGTTGATGGCAGTGAAATTCCTACCAAGTTGGCTCTCTCATTTTCACCTGTCAGCGTCTCTGATGAAGAGGGATCTTGGCAAACCAGACTGGTTTGGATAATTGGACTGTTGCAGTTGTCTTTATCTCAGTAAATTGACTAACCACTACAGAGGCTGGAGGAGAAATTTATAGAAAATCCTAAAATGGAGATTGAAGCAAGTGTTTCAATGACTAGGAAAGAGCAGGCCTTTGTGAGTTTCCAGCATATTATAGTATGGTGGGGCACTAGGACTCCTGTCTTCAAGGGGCCCCTAAAAATGAGGGGGGATTCATTTAGTATGTGCCAGCTGTCATTTAAGCCCTTTTTGGTTATTCACTCACTTAGTCCTCACAACGATCCCATAAGACCCTGATATTAGTTGTACTTTGCACACAAGGAACCTGAATCACAAAGACAGCAAGTGCTTCCCTGTGGTTAGATAGCTAGTAAGAGGTGAAGCTCAGATACGAACCCAGATTTTCTAACTCTGTGGTCAGTTCACTATGAAATACTGAAACCCATTTCTGTAAAGTTCCTCTGGGAAACTCACCTTGGTGAGGCCCATCTCTGTACAGCCCTACCCCTATGTGCCCATATCTCGCTCTGGCCTTAGACGTTGCCGTGTTTGCTGACCGTACTCAAGTGTGAGCTTCCAGATAAGAATCCAAGTCTTACTCATCCTTAGGAAGTAGTCGGTGCTGGATACGTGTGTGTTGCAGCAGACTGGAGGTGAAGTTTTACAGAGACTTTGTAATCTCCCTGAAGCTGGCTAAGAAAGCAGCCACCTATGACTAGTTACACAGAAAGCCAGCCACTTAAGCAGTGGCACTGCTGGGTATGGACTTAGTTTTAAAGTTGCTAGCAGGTAAAATCTGATCTGTGTCTCCAGAAACAATCTTACTTGTGCACATTAGCTCTGACTCTAAACTGCTCCTTAATGATTCTCACTTGCTCTAATTTTTCAAAGACTGACTCCTCAGTCATTAGAGTCTGTTCCATTACTAGTAACTCAGTGTATGACCTGGAACAAGAGGTCTACATCTTTGGGACACAGTTTCCTCATCTTTAAACTGAAAGAATCAGGTTCCGGTTTTCAAAAATATAAAGCAGTGGAACCTTTGGGAGGCCAATATATAAAACAGAAGGTGAACTGTGCCTCTGGCTTATTTATCACACCCTCTTTCCCCACTGCCTGGCAGCCTTGGAGGGTCTCTGCTGAACATAAGCACTGGACTAGATCTTTTCAAAGGAAATAACCCAAAATGTTTAAAATGTTTAATAATGATACTTAATAATTCAGTAATAAAGTCACTTCAAAATAGCCTAGCCTACCTTGAGAAAAGCAGGTTGGAAGGCCTCACCATGGGACCGCTGTGCCTGTCTGTGTGACTGTCAGACACTGTGTGCTCCAGGCAGGGAGGGGTGTCAGCTTAACCTGATCATGTACAGTGGGTTGGGAAAGCTAACGCCTCTGGGCCTCATTCTCCTTGGCTGGAAACAGACTGCGTGTCGTGGCACTGGGGAATTAGAAATTCTATCCAGCCACTCTTGGAGATTGATTTTCCGTCTGGGGATCTGACCTCTTGCTTCACTAGCAGAGGGGATCAGACTGTTCTGGGAGGAGTCAATGAGCTGGCCCTCAGAAAAGCCTTCCCTTTCTTTTTTGTTCTTTTTTTTAACTGTATGTTTCAAAGGGGAAGTCTGATTACTTTGGGGACTTAACACCACCAGTTTGAATTCTTCTTGGTACTTAGAGCCTTGAGATAATCCATACCACCCCAACATCAGTCCTTCATGCTAAAAGATTACTGAAGATTTAATTCCATTTATGTCATTGGATTTGTAAAAAAAAAAACCCTTTTGGATTCAAAGATGAATGCCTCAGTTACTTTATTTTTGTTATTTTCACAGACCTCTTATGCAAATGCCTCAAGAGTAAGAATCTTGCTCAAGTGATTTTTGTATCTCCAAAGGCTAAGCCGGAGCCTGACATAGAGTAGCTGCTTGGTAAATATGTGTTCATTCATTCAACAAATACCCCCCTAGGTATAATGATAAGCAAAATAACTATCCTAATCCTTAACATGTCTGCAGTTGACTGGAAGAGACAGTTAAAAAGAGTACAAATAAATATATCTTGGGTTAAATGCTGTAAAGGGAAAGAAAAGGTTCAATGGAAGGAAAAATTAGAATTATTGGTACATGAACAGAAGTAAATGACCCCAACTCCCAACTCTAAATCTCTGTCTCATCTCACCTCTTTATAAATAATCACTACTATTATTTTAATTATCATAACTTCTGTCATTTCTTGATTACCCTCTACATTGCTGACATCTTTGTATTTATTACAGAAAATTCTCCAAATTACACTGCCAGTTAGGCTTCCTTATCACTTAGTCCAAATGAAAAACTAAGGTCCAGGGAAGATAATTACATAATTTGTTCATGATCAGAGAGCTAATGAGTGTCAGAGATGAATTGAATTGAACCAAAGTTGGTCTGACAAATCCTCTGTTTTAAGCAAAAGGAAAAAATTCTCATTAACTCCAAAGATTATCATCAGGAGTCCAACAGGGTTCCCAATTTAGGAACTACTATATCATTATCATATGGCAAAAGGTCCACTATGTTAGATGAGAGGACCAAAAAAAAAAAAAAAAAGGTGGGGAGAAACTTTGCTGTAGAGTTGGAGGGAAAAAGAGGAAGATAGTCTTCTTGCATTGGTCATCTTATCAGCCTAGCAATAATAAACTATCACCATGGCAACAGGAAGTCTAATTCATGGCAGATGTTGAGTCACTTTAAAAGCCACACCGACTGAATGCCAAGCTGATGCTGTAAACCTCTCTCCTCTGCCTCAGCTAGGCTAATCGTGCTATAGTCATATTAGAGAGACCCATCTTCCAAGGGTGGAACAAACTCTGGACTTGGCCTCAGAAGACTTGAGTCTGAGTCCCACATCTGCCCGTGCTGAGCTCTGTTGCCCTAAGCAGGTCAGTTCATCAAAAGTAGAAGACAGTTATTAATTTTATCATCATTATTATTACCAGTAATGGGAACTCTCTGAGATTCAGTCTCACAATCTGAAAGATAGATATTTGTGTAAGCATTGTGAGAAGGTTTAAATGAAATAAAAGATGTGCAAGTGCTTAGTAAACTATAAAGTAATTCACAAATATACTATTAACACCAAGAGACAGCTTGATGTGGTAGAAAGAGCTTGCACTGGAATAAGACAGACATGACTGTTTACAGACTGTTTTGTCTGGACGCATCGCTTACATGCTCAGTCTGTTTTCTGTCAGTAAAATTTCTTAGTATAAATAGGTAAAATGTTCTACTCATCTTACAAACTTGTGGCTTAATTAACCTCTCTGCACTTCAGTTACCCCTTTGTAAAATGGAGATGGCACTGGCACCTCCCTCCTAATGTTGTTGTGAGGATTAAATAAGTTAATATAGAGAGAACATTTAGAACAGTGCCTGGCACAGGCAGTGTGTTATCCATGTTAATGGTGGTAATGGTAGTGGTGGTGGAGAAGAAGAGGGAGGTGAAAAAGAGGAAGGAAGAGGAGGAGGAGCAATTGAAATCATATTTGTGCATAGAACTGTGAAAGCTGGCCAGGCTCAGTGGCTCACACCTATAATCCCAATACTTTGGGAGGCTGAGGCAGGTGAATTGATTGAGCCCAGGAGTTTGAGACCAGCCTGGGCAACATAGTGAAAACCTGTCTCTACAAAAAATACAAAAATTAGATGAATGTGGTGGTGTGTGTCTGTAGCCTCAGCTACTTGGGAGGCTTAGGTGGGAGGATTGCTTGAACCTGGGAGGCAGAGGTTGCAATGAGCCAATATTATGCTACTGCACTCCAGCCTGGACAACAGAGTGAGAACCTGTTTCAAAAAAATCAAAATAAAAAAGAACTGTGGAAGCTCCATGTGATATAAGTGAGGACCTCCATGGTCGATTTCAAAACACGTTTGGTCAGTTCCTGGACTGGTTCACATATCTATCAGTTTTCTCAAATTTTATATTGTCTACATAGCCTTTTCATCAAGCCCAGTATGCATGCCACCTCTGATCCTTGGCTATACAGTTTTCATTGGGAAGGGAGAACCAGGACAAAGAATTGATAGAAGTCATGAGAAATATTTTATCAGAGACCAAGGTCTCTATGGGCCAGGATTTCTCTGAGTCTTCTTTGATGTATTAAAAAGTATTTTTGGAAAGAATTAGTTTGAAAAATGCTAAGATGTTCAAGATAACTAGGTGTCTTATTTAAAGAGATGAGGTCTCACCATGTTTCCCAGTCTGGACTATAACTCCTGTGCTCAAGAAATCCTCCCTGTTCAGTTTTCCAGATAACTGGGACTGTAGGTGCACTTCACAGTACCCAGCTCCAACTGGATGTCTTTATCGCAAGACATCTGTTAAGACTAAAATGTAAACATTCATCTTGAATCTCTTAGGTTGGGTAGCCATGTAGAATATGGTGTTTCCCAAATTTACCTGATCAAAGAATTAGTTTTTCATGGAATATCTTACTTTGCTTAAGTTTCAAGTACCAAAATTGGAAAAATGCTGATGTAAGCCCATAGCCAAGACAGTCAGGCATTAAGCACAGTACCTCAAAACAGGTTTGAAAACTCCTACTAATCCTTCCATCAATTCAGATATCTATTTAACAAATTGAAAGAGTTCTGTATGTGGCAGTGACTATGTGCTAGGTAGTGGTGAAACAGTGACAAGCAAGATAGTTCTGATAGGGCTACTGGGGAGAGGAAAAAGTTGGCCAGCAATTTTATTGCAGTGACAAGGGAAAAGATGGAGAGGACAGGTGCCATGATACCAGGGACAGAGGCTTCTTACCCAACCTGATGGGTCAAGGAAAGTTTCCCTGGGAAAGTAACTTCTCAGCAGAGACCCAAAGGAGGAGTTACAGCTGTACAACACATAGGAGTTTGTAGCACACTCGCCCATGCATTCCATATTGTATCCTCATATCAGCCTTTCTTGCTAGATGCAATGAGAATGGAAAAAGTTATTAAGTGGTCATTACCACCTAATGAGTTTCTACACAATGAGTCAGGCACTGTGCTGGGCATCTTACAAATTTATTGTATTTACTCTTAACAGCAATAAGTAATATCTTCAGTTTACAAATGAGAAATTGAGGCTCACGGGAGTTAAGTGGTTTCCCAACGCTGTACATGTAGTTAGTACAAAACCAGGACTTTCAGATCTGCCTGACTCCAAAGCCCATTAAACCATGGTTAGTCAGTGCTGGGCCTGGACAGTGGCTGGTCCATGACGAAGTTTTTACTAGTCAGAAATGCAGAGGAGTGAGCAGAATGTTGAGTTCTTCCTTAAGCTAATTTTTTTTTTCTTAAATGACTTATGTTATCCTGAGACATTCCCCTCCCAACTGTTTGATGTAGGAAGTCCTGTGGGTTTATAATATATATATATATATATACATACATACACACACATGTATATGTATATGTATATCTTGTAAAAGAAAACTTCAAGCTTTTTCTTGGCAAAATAAACTTTCTAACCCTATAAGGTTAGTCTCCAAAGTCATTTTGGAAGTGTTACCATGTATGAATTCTAAAAATCTTGGAAGTTCTGTTTATGTAACTTTCTAGAACATATTCATTCTAATGATGAGAGATATAAGAACCAGCAGATTGCTGTGAGTTCTGCTGGTTCAAAATTGGGTGAATTGGTAAATTCTATGGGCACTAGCAGCCAAAAATGGAGATAAAGTTAAGATCCAGTGGCATCTTCCAAAATGCACACACACACCCCACCAGTGACATTCAGCGTTCTACATACTAGTTTGTAACACTCCTTTTCTTTCTTTCTTTCTTTTTCTTTTTTTTTTTTGAGACAGTATTGCACTATTGCCCAGGCTGGAGTGTAATGGCACGATCTCAGCTCACTGCAACCTCCGCCTCCCAGGTTCACACAATTCTCCTGCCTCAGCCTCCCAAGTAGCTGGGATTGCAGGCACACACTACCACACCCAGCTAATTTTTTTATATTTTTAGTAGAGATGGGGTTTCACTATGTTGGCCAGACTGGTCTTGAACTCCTGACCTTGTGATCCACCCGCCTTGGCCTCCTAAAATGCTGGGATTAATAGGCATTAGCCACCGCATCCAGTCTGTAGACACACTTTTTCTAATGGCTAAATAATCATTTTAGTAGGTATTAGAGAAAATGTAACTAACATTAAACCTGGGTTTTATGAACATTTTTGCATAGATTGAGACAATTTTAAAAAGAAAGAAAAGTTTTTTTTTTCTTTCCAGAATTTATAAAAATATTTTATGACTAATAAATACTATAGGTAGTACTTGGGAAAAGAAAATAATTGTGAAGATAGGACCTGAATTACTAAAATGTGTGAAATAATACGATAATATATATAAAAGTGCCTCATGCATAAAAGGCCCCAGTAAATGCTTTCTTTCTTCCTGATTCACGTGGTGAGCAATTGGCAAGGGCCCAGGACCAAACCTCATAGCATCAGACTCCCAGTCCAGTGCTCCTTCCAAGACACCCTTCAGTTGTCTGCTTTTTATCTGCCTATCTCACACTGTGTCCTTCCTCTCTCTGTCTAACCCCCAGGAAAAGTGCAGCAAGTAGAGGTATTTCTGAAATGAGTGGCTTGCAAAAAGGATCTGATGAGTATAAATAATAAGCAATGTATACCTAAGAGTGTAGACACTATTAGCATTTGGAAAAATAGGAATCTGAACTGAGAATGGGAAGGGCCCTTAGAGATCATCCCACACAGACCCTCCTTTTGCAGATGAGGAAGTTGAGACCCAGAGAGGGAAGTGCTTTGTGCATGGCCAGACAACTCATTGCTGATCAAACCAGGACTAGCATCCATATGAAACATGCAAATATAAAATTACATGGAAAAAAAATAAAAACAACCTCTACCTCCAGATAGCCTGCTTTCCAGAGAAGTGGCAAGAAAGTACCA